CTGTGTTCACCAACTGTCAGATAGCACCACTGATAAGTGCTCCCTCCCCTTTTTCTTTTGTCTCTCAACCCCCTACCATCCCAGCCATAAAAGGAGGCTGATACCAAGGTTCGGGGCTCAGCCTTTGGAGGTGACTCTGCTGGGCAGGCACTGGTGCACAATAAACAGTCTTTTCTGATTCCTTGAGTGTGTGTGCCTTGTCTCTTCCTGTGTGCCAAGTATTTGCTGTAACAAGCTGAATAAGACCCCCAAAGGTGTCCATGTCCTAACCCTCAGAACCCGTTCCTTTACCTGGTATCAGGGATTTTGCAGATGTGATAGAATTAAGGACCTTGAGGTGGGGAGATGATTCTGAATTATGTGAGTGGCCCCAGGTAGGGTCTTCCCAAGGGAAGAGGGAGGTGGGAGGCTCAGAGAGAGAGGAGATGTGGCAGTGGAAGCAGAGGTCAGAGAACATGGGACAGAGACTTGAAGATGCCACTGAAGCCTTGACAGGAGGGAAGGAGGGGTCGAAAGTCCAGGAATGCAGACAGGGATCCAGAGGAGTCTGGAGTCCCCAGAAGGGGTGGCCCTGTGACACCTGGATTTCTGCCTTCAGGACCCATTTCAGACTTCTGACCTTCAGACCTATAAGAGAATAAGTGTGTGTTGTTTTCAGGCACTCAGTTTGTAATGATTTGTGACAGCAGCCATAGGAAATGAACTCAAGGAGCCAAGGGACAGATTTCCCCAGGACACTTAGTGTGGCCCCTGCCCACAATGACATGCCTGGCCCATCCCCCTCTAGCCCCTCATAGTGCAGGGGAGGAGTGGGAGCCCAGGGATCCAGCAGGAAGGGCTGAGGGTCCTTGGTCCTTTCACCACCCCTCATTGTCAGAAAGCAGCCAGAACCCCAGACCCCCAAAGCCCCCAGTGCCACCAAGAAAGTCCCCGGATGGATGCTGGTTTTCCCAATAACATCCAGGATTGAATGGAGATAGTTCTGAATAAATGATGCTCCATCCCCCTCCCCAGAAGATGGCAGGTGACTTTCTGAGCCACACACCTGAGATAGTACCCCATCTTTCTTTGGCAGAGTTGGGTCATGAGTGGGGGAGTGACTCATAGGTCCTGGAATACCCAAGGGGCTATCCAGGCAGAGTAGGAGTGGGCTTAGAGATGCAGTGGATGCAGGGAGCTGTGACTTCGTGCCAAGGGTCCATTCTGGATCCAGGGGCAGGAGCTTGCCTGGCTGAGCCACACTGGGGCAAATCAGGGAACTGAAACCATGTAAGCACCCCCACACCACCTGGTGATGGTGACCTGGTAGTAAAGGAGACAGAGGACTCCTTATGCAGAAGCAGCTATAGCCTCCTCACGGTCATTGCCATATCCTGAGACTGCCAGGTAGTGATCTGTATGTCAGAGCCTGATTCCCATCAATGGGGAGGCCTCGGGTAAAACACGTCCCCACTTTTTATTATGGTACAAGATGCCTGAGACAGCACTGAGACACCAGTTTCCCGCCAGCAAAGGCTGTGTTTATTCTCAGAGAAATTAGGAGGCACTTATTTCCCTCCTTGCATTGATTCCTGGGGAGCTCAGAGCTCATTTTGGGAAGTACCTGAACCTCGGGGCAGGCCTTTTATGGGACAGTTTCCTTCCTGGCTTCCTCCTATTCCTCTTATATCTCTGAACCTGCCATCGCGTGAGAAATCAGAGTGGTCCCCAGATTTAAGAGCCTGTGGCGCCAAATTACTGGAATGTCCTGAACTCTATGGGTGCTCCAGCCTGAGGGAGTGACATGGAGTGGGTCAAAGTGGGTGGGAGCTGAGCTGGGCAGAGGGGGAGGAGGGCATACAGGAGGTGAGGACCAGGAGCAGAGGGGGTCCAGGCCAAAGGAAAGAGAGGATACTGGGGGTATAGAGGGTCCCCACAAAGTCAGGGAGGGAGGGCTTATCTGGAAGTCAGCAGCCCTGGCCAACTCCGACCAGGGAGGTAGCAGGGAGTGGGCATAGCTGTGTGCTAGAGGAGGAATGGGGGAAGGAGGGGACAGAGGTACTGAGGTTCTAGTGACCAGACTCCTTCAGGTGACCAGACTCCTCATGTCCTGACTAGTTTCCTGGGAGATTCCCCCAGGAAGACCGTGAGTGTTTTTGTTTCCCCTCAGGTTGCTTTCCCACTGGGTGCCAAGGATTGCACGTACCTCCCTTGAGGATCCTGGAAGGTTGCAAACTAAATATGAGACCAAAAAAGAGTGAACAGAGAGCAATGTTTTTTTTTTTTTTTTTTAAATTTTTTTTTTTCAACCTTTATTTATTTTTGGGATAGAGAGAGACAGAGCATGAACGGGGGAGGGGCAGAGAGAGAGGGAGACACAGAATGGGAAACAGTCTCCAGGCTCTGAGCCATCAGCCCAGAGCCTGACGCGGGGCTCGAACTCCCGGACCGCGAGATCGTGACCTGGCTGAAGTCGGACGCTTAACTGACTGCGCCACCCAGGTGCCCCGAGAGCAATGGTTTCTGATTGACCAAAGGACATTGTATTGAGAGCTGATTCAGTGTAGGGAGCAGGGCTGGGGATGATGGGCATGGGGCCTGGAAAGACCCCTCATGTTTGTCAGGGGAATCCCAGTGCCTGAATCAGGGAAGCTCTGGCACCCTGTCTTTCGTCTTCGTCTCTCTGCAGGTTCACCCATCCTCATAACTCACCATCCCACCCCTGAGCTCCTCTGGTCCTGGTTGGCATCAGCCTTGAGACCTTGTATCTCCTTGGGAAATCCATCTGTCCTACAGCATCGGGCTGTCTGAGATCTCCCCCCAGGTAAATATCCCTAGTATCTTCATATAGGGCTTCTGTCTGTCTGGCTTGGTCTATCTGTATTCAACAGGGTTTCTGTTTTTCAGGTTCTCCTCCCTTCCAAGGAGGAGCTTCTTACCTCACAGTCCCAGACAGTGAGACCCCAGGATTCCAGGGAGGAGCTTAGACACCAACGAGGAGGTCCTGGGGAACCATAGGCAGTGGGGCCCCAAGACCACTGGGGGTGGACATGGTCAGTACAAGAATGGTAAATATAGGGAAGGTCCAGAAGGTGGGCTATCTTGTCCTGCTGGCCTGTCTTCTATTCTGAAACATTCTCTGGGCTATTCTGGATAAGAATGAAAATATCCCATATAGAAAAATGAGGACTCCTTCTACCCTAGCGGCTGGAGGAGATGGTTAACTGGAGAGAGAGCTCTGAGTCATAGTGAGGAAAGGTAGGAAGAGGTCACTGGAACTGGCCCATTCTGTCCCCACCAGGTGTTTCAGAGCAGGAATAGGCTACAGCGGGTGGGATGGCCAGACAAAAAGGTGAAGGTTCCAGAATGCCAGAGTGATTCAGACCTCAGGCCACACTCAGGACAGAAAGGAAAGAAAAATGCTCTCAAATTTGACTCTGGTCCCCAAAGAGAGAGAATGGGGGAGACTCACCTAGTATCGTCACCTGGGTCCCTCCATTGAACACATAGCACAGTGATACAGCCTTGAACACAAACCCTCTGTCACCCTGGCACCATACCCTCTCCCCACCAAACCCAGGCCCATCTGCAGCTGCTTGGGAGGCTCAGAGTCCAGCCTCCTCTTTGTGGGGGTTGGGCTGGCCCATGGGAGCTTGAGACAGGGCCCCCCTCCCCAATGCACCTTCCCTTCCTCATGGGGTGAACTTCCCTCCAGCCCCCACCATGGAGGGGTAGGAGGGAATGCCTGAGTGACATATCATAACTCAGGTAGCTCCTGGCAGGAGCTCTGTGTATGGCTCAGCTTGCTTGGGGAATGCTATCTGGGAGATTGGACAGCACAGTTTCCAACACAGACATCACGGGGCCTGTGCCTTCTGCAGAGCTGAGGCCCGTGGAGGGTTCTGGATGCCACCACATGTCCTAGGTACATGCCCAACATGGCCAAGTGTGCAATAGCAGGTGTTCCTGTGTCATGGTGTGTTCGTGCAAGTTTATTGCGTGTGTGTGCATGTCTAGTCTGTCTGTGTGACTAGGAGCCTAGACCTGCCATCCTGAGCTAGCTCCTAGCACAACAGACTTCCTGGTTCTCAGGGCCCATTCACAATGCCTAAGAAGGTGAGTCAGTTCACAGTTCAAATATGCCCAAGGTACAATCCAGAATGTAATCTAGACATTGAACTCATGGCCTCAGTGACCACCCAGGGACATTTTGGTTTAGTGCTTGTGATGGCGTCAGCAGTGGATGGACTCTAAGGGGTCCCTGCCTCCCAGGGCCTTGAATACAGCTGGGGCCCCCAGTGTAAGTGTGGGTTTGAGTGGCCAGGATCCAAGAACTGAGGGTTCTGTAGTAAGTATGACAGAGATGTCTGTGGGAGGGACACAGGACAGTGTCCCTGGGGAGGCAGGAGAGGGGGGCTGATAAGAAAGGGAGAATGTTCTAGTCTGTGACGATGTGGAGTGTCTGTATGAGGTAGGAAACCAAGAAAACATGGCATCAAGTGAGGGCATTCATGGAAGGAGAGTGGGACATCTCAGGAGGGGGACTAATACCAGACAGTGAGGACCCAGGTCCAGAGAGGAGCTCAAACATTATATAAGAGTCCATGGGGAGCCAAGAGCAGTGGACTTCTGTGTTGCTGATGGCTGATGTGGTCCATGCAAGAAAAGTAAGCATAGAGATATGGCAGAGGATGGTCTATCTGGATTCTGCTGTTTGTATCTCCTCTTCTGCAATATTCTCTGGCAATTCTGGCTGAGAGTAAAACTACTCCTCAAAATAAAAATGAGGATGACTTCTGCGGGTTCCTCTCCAACAAACCCAAAACAATGATGGTCCCGAAGATGGTTGATTCAGGACAAAAAATGTTAAACCCAAATAACCAGAGAGCAAATTTATGACTGAATAAAGCAATTTATTGAGCATTGATTGGGTGCTGGCAGAAAGGCTGGGATGATCCTGGTCTCAGGGAAGTCCCTCCTGGAGGTCCTGTGGCTCTAGGCCTGATTGGGGGTCTTGTGACCTAAGAGCACTCTGCAGGGACCACTCTCTTCTCCAGGTGCTCCCCTCATGCGTGACCTGGCAGGTGTAGCTGCTTCTAGATTTCCACTGGTCAGGTGACAGGCTCAGGAAACTGCTGGCCGAGTACTTGTTGCTCTGTTTGGAGGGCTTGGTGGTCTCCACACCCTGCGTGACAGGGTTGCCGTCTGCCTTCCAGGCCACCATCAAGCCACTGGGGTAGAAGTCACTGATGAGGCACACCAGGGTGGCC